TCAGATTGAAATAACAGAACTCCACTAAGAGAAATTGTCTTGTATTATCACAAAGCCATTGGAAATGTATGTTGATATGGAAACATTATGATAGTTAAAAAATTATGTGTCAGAGAAATTCAGTGCAGTTAGAAAACTTTTTCTAATCTTCATTAACTATTGCTATTAAAACAATAAGTTATAGAATCAAGACCTGATTTGGTGGAATACATTATTTTCTCTGATAACAGTGAGGAATTAAAAAAAAAATCTAAACCTTACTTGTGCCTCAGTAGGCTTCACACGGCACATTGAATTACTTGTTTCTCTGCAATCTGAGAGATGAGCATTTTAAGTTCATCATTTACTTAGAGTGAAAAAGATGGGCAATTATAGACTCAGACACCAGTGAGGGTGGCTGTGAGTCAGAATTAATTCTATGGCAACAGGGTTTTGTTAAATTTTAGTTTATTTACCTTTCTAGTTCTGTACTTACCCTTTAGCAAAGTGGAAAAGTACATTAATTCACATAGCTGTTGTTAGGTACCGTCAGATCACCTCTGACTCATATCAGTCCTGTGGCAACAGTTCTAAACCTCACCTGATCCTCTGACAGCATTACAACTTCTGCCATACAACATCCATTCTTGCAGGTACCTTGTCAATCCATCTCAGTAAGGGTATTCCTCATTTTTTCATTGACCCTGTACATTTCTGAGGTTGATGTCCTTCCATAGGGTCTAAAATCCCTCTTGATAACATGGTCAAAGGATGTGAGAGACTATGTGTCATCATCTTGGCTTATAAAGAGTATTTAGGTTGCATTTCCTTCAAGAAAGACTTGGTTTTCCATCAATTCATGTTATACAATATTCTCCACCAACACTACAACTGAAAGGCACCAGTTCTTCAGTCTTCATTATTCATGGTCTAATTTTCACATCCATAGCAATCTAAAATACTACGGCTTGAGTCAGGCACACATTACTCTTTAAAGTGACATCTTTGTTCTTAAATGTTTTAAAGAAGTTGTTGGCATTAGATTTATCTAATAATATATGTCCGTTGATTTCTTGGCTGTTGCTACCATGAGTGTTGATTGTGTGACCAAGTACAATGAAGTTGATGATGACAAACTCAGTCTTCTATCATAAGGTGTGGGGAGGATTTTTGTTTTCTTCTCATTGTGTTATAATCCATTTGAAAGCTCTATTCTTTAAGCTTCAGCAATAAGTACTTTGAGTCTTCTTTGTTTCCTACAAAGAAAGTTATGACTTTTGCATTCAAATGAAGAATTGTAAAAATACATTTTTATGCAATGAAATATAAAATTTTTTATCTTTTTTGTGAGACTTTTCTATAATTATTCCATTGGCTCCATTAATCAAGTACTTTCTGCTTCATAATGCCTATATTATTCCTTCAACAAAACCTTAATTTAATTAATATTTAATGCATTCAAACCTTATTAGGCCATTAACATTTTTTCATACTTTGTTGGTACTGTGGTTAAGAACTTAACGGGTATAGAATCACTGATGGAATACTTGACAGCAGTAGGCTTGGTTTTGGGGTTTAGCAATATAGCAGTGTAAGTGACACTGCCTATTCTAATTCTGACCAAAAATTTGAAAGTAAAGAATGTTAGTTCCATAAAATTTCAAAAAAAAGTCAAGTAAAAAAATTCATGTAAATCTAAGTAAATTAAGTTTATATTAAGCATAGACATTTTATGTAGCAAATTCTCAAGACTATACTGGTTTAGAAGTTCTAATAAATGATATGGCTGATAATTTGTTCTTCTATTTATGGTTGTTAAGTTATTTTCGTAAGTTACCCAACACATCCAGAGCAATTCAGAATCAAAGAAGAGACCCAAAACCTTCAATTACCTGGGAAAATACAATATTTCTGCTACTTCTGCTTCTAAGCTTCGTCTTGATGTTTTATGGAACAGCTTTCCTTTGTCCTACAGGGTCCCATGAGTGATAATAGATTCACAACTCTGGCCGCATATATTATAAAGTCCTGTATTTCATATACTTTAAAACAACTGAGGGCAAAGAATGAATTAGTTTAAGTAGAAAGAAATTATGAAATGACTAAAATATTGTCTCCATTAAAGAATAAAGACATTGGCACATTCTTAATTATGTCAGACAAAATGTAAATATTCATTTTACATAAGGCTGAGAAAGCACTTTCAAGCTTGCAAAGTCAGTTTTCCCCTCTAGCAATTAAAGACTAAAAGGAAGGGTTCTTTTATTCCATTCACAGGGAGTTGTTAGCCACTCTATTCCTACTCATAGCAAACTCATTTGTGTTAGTGGAGAGCAGTGCTCCCTAGATTTTTTTAATGACTCACTTTCAGTAATAGACATCAAGCCTTTCTTCTAAGATGCTTCTGGTTGGATTTTAACTGCCAGCTTTCAGTTAGCAGCTACATGTGCTGACTTGTTGCATCACCTAAAGACACTCATCCTCATGCACCTACCTGAGCATGCAGACGCCTCTAAGTAATCTGCATACCTGGAGTTTTCCCCTGATGAACTGGTGTTGAGAATTTTTGTCAGTTTGTGAGTAAATTCCTTTTTTCAAGGAATAACATCCAGAAAGATCAAAATCTATGTTATCCCTTCAAACATGCCTAAGTCTGCTCTTTTTAAAGGCAAAAGAATTGAGACCAAATAGGCAAGCCCATTGCTGTGAAATCAGTGCTGACCTTTATAGACTGTAGGATAAAGTAGAATTTCTCATAGGGTTCCCAAGACTAAAAACCCTACTATGAGTAAAAATCTTTATGGAAGCGGATTGGCTTATCTTCTTCTCAAAGACTGATGAGTTCAAAGCACTGACCTTTCAATTAGTTGTCAAATGACTAAACTGTAGTGCCCTCAGAATTCCAATAATCCAGTGTCAAGTCCAGTGAATCTTCTCATCATAGGACTTTAAAGTAAATACAGTGTTTACCAGCCATATAGTCTTTGTGATAGGTATTCAACTCTGCAGCTGTACCCTGAAAACAGACAGATAAGATCTAAACAAATGTGTATGCCTATGTCCAAATAAGATAGGTGCTCAGATTTGACCTCAAACTAGTCTGCCAACCCTTGACCTAAATCAACCCATGTTCTGAACCAGGATAATATTGTTCATATTTATTTTGTGTCTCACTCCTATTTGGTATTCCTTCAAAACTGAATTAAGCAAAAGATGTACCTCAGAAAATGAAAGTTAATAAAATTTTTGTTTATTATGAGATAATTATCTATAATACAGATGTTCTGTTAAATTTTTCTTTAGAAACAAACTATTCACTTAAGTGTAATTTTTTCATAAATTAATCAACTTTTTAAAAGTTTTCTATATGGTAGATCATCTTATTCATGCTCCAGTCAGTGCAACTTTCTCTTATTCTGGTTTCTTTATCTTTCTAAATATTTGTACATATTTGTGCATATTTTTTATGCAGATTCACTTGAACCATCCAGGATATATCCCTTTCAGTAGTTGATTGACCTCAGTGTGCAGATCTTTTCCAGTTGAAATTTCCATTATTGCCAACTTATAGATTAACTAACAATGCCAGTCTGTGTCTTTCTAGCAATCACCTTTCCTGTTACCACACTTTCTTCCACTATAGTCCATGAATGAAATTTGCACCTACATAAGTTTATAATAGCTAAATAATAATTGAAAGACTCAAATGAGCTAGTCTGTAGAAATGTATGAAATATCTTGATAAATCAAATATTCAGTCCCTGATCCTTTGAAGGAAGACTTCATTCTTCGGGGGAGAGAAACTTTATAGTAGTCCATAGAAAGTAACCCTGCTAGCCCAAAGACTGCACAAATCATTGCTCATTTGAATTGATGACCTGATCCAAGGGTGAAAGATAGACATTCTCCTCATATGTAATTTACAACCTAAAAACCTCACTAGAGGTTCAATTATGAGCTGGTTCTGGCTTAATGGCAAAGAGTGACTGACTGGGTGACTTTCCACAGTACTGAAAAGTCTGGCTACTTCTTGTTTTTAGCTGTATTTATAGATATTGTGTTTACTGATGGTCTGAAAACAGGTAAATGAGTAACTTTTCTACTGACTAACTTCTACTTTTTCCAAAGTACTTATTATAAAAAAAATATATGTTACATATAAGATATAATTTTTCTACATATATATAGAATTTTTTTCAAATACATATATTTGGAAAAATTTTCTATATATACAATTTTTTCCAAAGAATACCTTAGAAAAACAGAGATTATCACAGTAGAAAAATTATATATGGAAATATTATATATATGGAAAATTATATCTATGGAAAAATTACATATGGAAAAATTATATACATGTGGAAAGTATATATATTTATATACATAAAATTTTTAATGACATATAGGACAGATTAGCCACATAAGAATGGAGAGCTTCTGAAAAATATAGACTGTTACGTCCTGCTCTCTAGAGTATTATAGTCAGTTGATCTAGGGAACTGAAAGGTATAGTATATAGCAGTTAATGTGGGGGGTTTTGTTTTAAATTTTCATGTTCACTGGTGCTAAATTAAAGTCAAAGTCATTGAGAACTGACCGATAGCTGACTCTCAGAAGGTTTTCAGAGGCTGTGAGTCACACAGGAGGAATATGCCCATCTTTCTCCCTTGGAGCAGCTGATGAATTTGAAGCATCTGCCTTTGGGTTGGCAACATAACTCTGTTTTTTTTCTATGTAGTTTCTATTGACAACTGTAAAGAAAGGATCAAGTGAAAAGTGGATTACACTGATAATCTATTTTGTGGAAGCAGAAATTGCATATACTTTTACCAAAAGACTTTAACTTTCTCTTTTTGGCAAAATGTCCTGAAAATTTCATTTCAAGTGGCTGCATTGCAATATATATTCTTTTTTAGATTTATCTCACCACATGGAGAAAATGATTGGTCCTCTTGGTCCATCATTACATCTTAAATGACTGTTTCTGAAGCCATGTGCATGTTTCTTTCTCTTGTTCTTAGCACCAGAAGAATGGACCACAACCCGCTCCAGCCTGAAGGCACCCCCACCAAGGTCAGCCAGAGGGGGATACAGGGAACATCCCTATGGTAGATATTGAAGGTCTTCCTCACCTGTGATCTCACCTCAAAGACAATTCATAGCCTGTGGTCTCCACATAAACAGCAACAAGACAAGTAATAGTCCTTTTTTTTTTTTTCTATTCTAGGGATAACTGCTCATGATTATTCTTGTATTTCCCTCCTATGCTGTTGGTGTGACATTATTAACACTAGTATTATTTTGCAAAACGGACTTTAAAAAGACATTGGCAGACATTGTCTATTCCATTCAGTAGGATGATACTCTCTTGGTTGTTTTCATTGTTGTGTGTATTTTTTTAATTATTATTTAAATGAAAAAAAGAAAAGCATGAATCTGTTCAAAATCTTTGAGTCTCAACCAACTAGCAAAACTTTTGTTTAGGGTTGCTAAAAGACTGTAATATGATTTTTGAACTAGCTGATAATAAAGTTGTAGATAAGATGTTTTAATCTGTCTTTTAATATCTGTTAGTTAGATCAAGATGTTCAATATTAAGTTTGTAAATTTAATTTTAAATGCTGTTTTAATGGGGTCGAAAAGAAGCAGCTACTGTATGTATGTAGCTAACTGAATTTGTTCAGTGTTTTAACCTGTATTTGTTAAAAAAGAACAAAAAACACACATAAAGTTCCATGTGTAAGCTTCTCTAAATAGGAAACCACAATTTGTCAAATATGTTTGCCATAATTTGTCAATAAAGCTGAAAATTTTTGTAAAACCTAAATTTGGAATTACTTGTTTTCTAGCTTTAAATGCCTGCTTTATTTCTTCTTCAAGAGATGCCTAAAATGTTTTCTATTTAAAACTTACAAAAATGAACCCAAGCCTGTTTTAAGATATTTGTGTAGTACTTTAAAAAAATGTATTAATAACTTATGGTTGTTAAATAATTTAAAAGTTAACAAACTAAACTGTTACATGAATCATGGTTAGTAAACACTAATGTATAATATGTTAATGGAAAAGATGGATTTAGAATAATAAATGGATTTTAAACTATCCTCTAAGCTTTATCTTGCTAAACACCAACTCTGATTGACTTGTTTGCATTAGCATGTCTCTCCTGAGAAAGAGTAATGGAGTATAAAGAGGTAAGATTACCACTTACCACTGTCTAAATGCCTAGTTCTTCAACCTTTGAGTTTCCCCGCACATTAAATATCCCATTCTAACATGTAAGCATTGCGTAGACTCACTTTATTGTTTTCACTCAAAGGAGTTCGTGAACTTCATTTGCGTAGTTTATAACAATTTGTTTTGACAAACAAATCATCAGTGTCACTGGCCAGTTGTTGCTATTCAACCTCAAAAACTTTATTTGTAATTTTCAGTGCTAAATATCACCGCCCTTGAAGGCAGTTTAGAGGGCTGATATTTCTTTTGAGACTATCAGACTTGATGGCTGATGATTATTAAGGAAATATGTCGCAGGACTCAAAGGATGACTAAACGTTAAACAGGTAACACTAATAGTAACTCTGTAATTTTGCATATGCAACAGAAATGTTAAATATTCTCAGTTATTAAGTTCCTGATAGTTAAAAAAGTAAACCTGCAAAAACATAACAAATAGGTCTATAGGTTATTAAAACAACTAATTAACATTAACTAGAGGCACCAAAATTATTTTACAAGATATAACCCTCAAGGCAATAAACAGAACTAAAATTAACAATAATAGTAATGCAACTCTTGCTAACATCAAACGTTAAGCTAAATTTTGATGGGAAAAAACCAAAACCAAAAACCGAAAGACTTGATAGTAGGGATGAATGCGAAAACTGTTAATCTTTTAAATACAGTTTTTTTGTTTATGGTGGCTTTTTGTCGATGTTATTGGTTTACTTTTTTGCTGCTAACCAGCTTAGGCATATTGCTGTTGAGTTTTTTTCAGCTGGAGTTGCATGCTAATAGTTTTATGAAGTGTGTGTCTGTCATCAATTAAAGTTGTAAATATTTGCATTTCATGAAATGCAGTTGGGTTTTATTTAATTGTCTTTGTATTCTTTCTCCCTATTTCAGGTGTCTATGAGCAAAGAACAGATAAATGAATAGCAGATGTGATGGTTTATAAAGGACAGAGGTAAGCTTTTAATTGTTTGAGTTTGGGGGTTTTGCTTCCTTCTCTGACCTAGATAAGATAATATTTACCCATATGAAGGCAAAACAGTGAACCCAAACACCATAAATGTTGCTTGTTGAAATGCTGAAAGCCTTTTTTAGGCTGTTGTCAAGGAACTGTATTCTTTTTATTTTCTTCTTAAAAACAAGGCTTTCTGAGTTTATTCGAAATCATGCCAAATGAGTTGGGAGTGAATAATTAGCCTAGGATTTTTTTTCTTCTCTGTGAATTAGCTGTTCCATCTTTTTAAATCTACAAATAAGAATGCTACAACATTTTAACTGAAGATATAGGGGGAAAGAAACCCTAATTGCTGCCTGAAAAGAAGGGAAAGTGGATCATCCTGTCAATGAAAACCAGATGCAATAAATAATTGGCCATTCTCATAATTTTCCCCATTTATCTGACTGCTTTCTGCAGTAAATCTCTCCTTGTCTTTCTTTTGCCATTTCTTTTGTTTTAGCAAACATTTACTGAATCCAAAGTACTATTGGACATTAAAACATCATTCTCTCCCCCTCTTTATTTAAGAAGTCAACAATTCTAGTCAGATACACCTCTGACTGATAATCATGCATGGGCTATTGTGATTTCCACAGAAAATTGAAATAGTCTTTCCAGAATGGTTGAAATGGGATGAAAAAGTCAGTTTTTGGGCTTTGTTTTGTTTTTTACTCAGAACAGTCCCCTGTATACTACACAAATCTCTGCAGTACAGTTTGGTCTTCAAGAAGTGCAGTTAAGTGGCATAAAAGAACTTGGAGATCCAGGATGTGTTCATCTGGAATCAGCAAAGAAGCTGAGGGAGAATTCAGGTTGAACAGAGTTCATTGGTGAAAACATAAATGGATCCTATTTAAGAGAGTCTGCCAATGCCAGGCATCATCTAGGAAGTTGCACATACTAGTGAGTCTTCAGAACTGTGGAATGATGTTTCTGTGCTTTGCCAGGCATTTTTTTCCCATGGTGCATCTGAGTGTGCTCACACCTGCAGCTCTTCTGTCAGCAGCCCAGCTATTTGTATCACTAAGGGACCGTTTGTGTGAACAGCAGCTGCTGAGTGAGCCTTGGGGGTTGTTGATGAAAGCACATACCAAAAGCAAAGCCTAGAAAAACAGAGTCAAGTGATATCATGATGAGCCTTAAGAACTGTGCAGAATTGATGGGTTTTATAAAATAAGCAATATAGTATGCTGGTATTATAGTTCATATTGAGTTGTGCTGACTGTTGAAATCCATCCACCACTCCTAGGGAGAATGATAGCCAATCGCTTCTCATATGAGTTACAGTCTCAGAAAGCCAGTGGAGGGTCTGCTATGAGTTGGTCCTGACTTGACAGCAATGAATGTTAGTTTGATTATAAGAAACTTAAGTTGAACTAAGAACTTGCATAGTCTTTGCAATTACTTGCTATGCATCAGAGAGCCGGACAATGACAAAGGATGACAGAATTGATTCCCTTGTGTTGAGGTGTTGAAGAGTGCTGACCATTCCATGGACTGAAAAGAGGGCCAACAGGTTTGTCTTAGAGAGGGTGAAACCAAGTTGCTCCTTAGAGGTGAGGATTTTGAAGCTTCATCTCACAAACATCAGGCACAGGCATGTGGTGCCAAGCCTTGGAGAAAGATACCATGCTTGAAAGGGTGAAGAGATAGCACAAGATAGGAAGACCATCGACACAGTAACTAAGACAATGGGGTTAAGAGTATCAGAGACAGTGACACTGGCTCAGGATAGGGCAGGTTTCAGAACATTTATGCATAAGGTCACTAGCAGTCACCGGCAACTTGGAGGCACATAACAACAGCAACAACAACCAGTGGTTCATAAGGTTTTAGGGTGACCTTTAGTGTGTGTGTTGTGCCACATCAGATTATCAGCAGGAGTACAAGTCTTCTTTTGAAAACAAAAGTGGGAAAAAACAGTTGACATGATTTAGATTTTGTTTGGTGACTTACAGATGGAAGTGGACCCAGGAAGCCCACACCAGACAGTGACATACTGAACCACCTGTTCAAAGTCTGAAGGGCACTGAGAAGGAAAAGGTTTTGACTGAATTTTGTCACCTCAAAATGCATACATGATGGAAAAATGTGGAAGCTATAATTATCCCACATGTTCTGATCAACCAAATAGTTGTATGAGGATTAAGGGTGGAATGCAGTAGTCCTTAATCCTATCACAATCCTAATTAGACAAAAGGAAAGTTCCTCTAAGGTGTGTGTGACCTACCGTACCTTTTATCTGACTAGAGCTAGATAAATGGGGAGGAAAGAGAGCTGGAGCTGGAGGAAGGGGATTCCTCAGTGCCACTGAGAAGTAATCACCAGGAGTAGAGTGCATCTCTTTGGATGCAGGTCCCTGCCTGAAGAAGCTCTTTGATACCATCGGAGTCCAAGACACATGGAGGGCTCTGGAGGATGCTGGACCTATGGATGGTGAAGGAAACAAGGACTTTCCTCCATAACTGACACAACGAGAAGGCTTTATCCTGGAGCTGGCACCCTGAATTTGCACTACCTAAACTGTAAGAGAATGAATTTCATTTGCTAAAGCCATTTATTTGTGATGTCTCTGTTAGAACAGCATTAGATTAGTAAGACACCGTCTAACATGTATGGAAAACAATTTGGCTATGTGTGGAACAAGGGGTGGGTGGTATCATGTCTGATCAAGGGAGTTGTTTTTATAATTAATAGGTTCCCTGTACTATAACATTGAAGTCAGCTGTTAGACCTGTTATTTCCTGCCCCAGGTCACTACTCACTAACAGACTTCTGTTCTGTCCCAGAGTCCTCTGAGGGAAGGAAAAAGCAAACCAACAAACAAACAACACCAAAAACCCCAAAACAAACAAAACCCTGAGGTAGCTATGATTACAGGGGATACCTGCACCTCTAGTGTTGCTTTTGGAGGAAGCAATTTACACAGAGTTCCTTCAGACCAGTATGTTCAGAAGCAAGCTAAAAGAGATGGCCCACAGTTTTCCTGGGCTGGCAAGAATGGAGCAGATGTGGTTAAGTAGGCTAGTCCCCAAAGGTCCATGTGTAGGCAAAGAGCAGAGGGTACAGTAGCCTCAGCACCAACCAGTACTGACCACAATACAACCTTGTCAATGTATGCAGCCTTGACTGCTAAAAAAAATCTGAAAAGAAGCTGCTACTGCCACTGACACCAAAACCTCTGTAAAAAAAAAAAAACAAACCAAAACCAAAACAATAGGGG